CGAAAAACCCTCAGCCCTAAACCCTAAACCCTAAACCTCGGACACAACACACCAAATCACCACTTGGGGTATAGGATTAAGGGTTTCAACCCATGGAATTTTTTATGTCATGGGCGTTTGTTTTGGAGCTAGAAACCAAGCCAAGCCCAAAAATGCAAGCTTCGCGGCAGATAAAACCTTGCTCGCTGCTCTCGCTCACTGGTTGGCATTTCTGCGATCTCCTTCAGGGTTTGGGTTTACCCTAAACCCTAAACTCGAAACAAAAGTTGTGTTGATGCACTCTCTGTTCGTCTGCACGCCTAGGCTCTAGGTTTCCACGTTTAGGGATGAGGCTCCGGTCTAAGGTTGTAATGCCTCGGGGAATTGGGGTTTAGGGCTCTACACTCCACATCTACAAGAGTTGGCAGCCCTAAACCCCAAGCCCTAAACTAACCAGCTATGCACTTCGGTTTTGTGGGTTTGAGGCTTCGGGGTCAGGGACCGGCCCGAGGTGTCGGGTTTGCCAATGCGCATCGATCAAGGCGTGGACGATGAATCATGAAGGATTCTTGTGAAAAACTCACATTAAATGCATCTTAGTTTTCCTTTAAAACTGACAGTATTTGGTTGAAACACCAGAAGACAAATCGAAGACCTGGTAACAGTGAAGTGGCCCTAATCTGACGAATTGGCCTTTCCGACGACCCTGATTGTTGCGCACGAACCGACAACAAGACTAAGACCAGTCAGGCGTGTCCAAAGTTGAAGCCATCTGTCTTTCTAGAGCACGAACAAAGGGGCCTTAATGATTAGAATAGGGTCTTGGGACCCATTCTAATCATAGTTATACTAAGGAACCCCAAAGTAGTGTTGGTAGTCACTTTGGCCCCTATATTACCGGAACGTCCCGGAAAACAGACCGTTATGTCGACAACTTCCCGAACAGGCCGCAAAGCTTATGTCCTTCAGCCTGTGACTTGACCTGACTGAACCCCCACCTCGCAGAATCCAGTGTCAAAAAAACCTCAAACACTGATCTCAAGACAGTCCTAAACCTTAAGCCCTGCCCTAAACCTTAAACCCTGCACCTTAAACTACCCTAAACCCTGAACCCTAAACCCGAAGCCCTGAACCCCAAACCCGAAGCCCTGAACCCTGCACCGTCGCTCTGCGTCCGGCGCCTCTGTTGTTGGAAGCATGAGCTGGGGAGCTTCCACCCACGCTCCCTCCTCCGCCACGCAGCGATGAAGGAGCTGGTGCCCGATGCCCACGATGTCAGGTAGCATCCTGAGAAGTGCAGACTATAACATACTGGAATCGACCAAATAGACTGTACTGTTGCACTATGCTATAATATGCCATAATATACCGTAATGTACTATAAACTGTTTTAAAGTGATATAATATACCAGAATAGGCCATTCGACATGACATGACACGTCGCAGCTGCCCTTCTTCGTCTGTTTCTCGCTGTTCTTACTGCTTGTGCTCTGGTGGCGACTGCTCACTAAGAATGTGTTGGAGCTGGTCGCTACCACCACGGCTGCTCATGCTGCTGAATATTCTGGCCACCACCCCCAAAACCGCGACAACAAGATATGGCTAGATGGAAGACCGAGCACAATACAACGATAACGGCGACTGCAGACACTCATGCTACTCCTCGTGCTGCTGCAGCATGATGCTACGATCTAACACTGCCAGAGCCACTGTTTCGGGCAACAACAATAGGGGGTTTGTTCTTGTTTGAACAGAGGGGTGCAGGGAATAACAAGAATAGGGCGGAGGGTGGGGTGTTATTGCCTGAAGAGAGGGGGGAACAATAGGAAGGTTGTTGTTGTTTGAAGAGAGGGGGGGCGGCGGAAAACAACAACAATAGGGGCGTGGTATTGTTTGAAGAGAGGGTCGTGTAGTTTATGACCACGGTTGCATGGCATTTCATTTCGAGGCCATGGGAGTCCATCTGGGCAGTTGGAGTGGATCTCGTTGTCCTTCCCAGCTTCACATCCTACAGTCTCTGACCCTTCAACCCTAATCCCGACACCTTAAACCCCAAACCCCTCAGGCCTCAAACTTCAAACTCCGAAGCCTGAGCCCTCAACCCCACATCAAGCTCTTCTTGACGTTGATTTGTAGGCTTCTGGATGAGGCCGTCCTACTTGTCCAGCGTCCTACGGGAACTCAGGTAAAGTCAAGCTCCTTTGGGCTGTGTACGGGCGGCGCGACTGCGACCTCGACCACAACAGCGACCGCGATACCGACGATGCCGACGCCGACTACTACGACTAAAACTAGGTACTACTACGACTACGGTACCCTCAACCCCCAACCCCCAAACCCTCAACTCAAAACCCGAAAGCACACCACTACTCCGCACAGCCCAGGGTTCATGCAGCGACCCAGCATTGGAAAGCCCAGAGCTGCCAGTATGAAAATCATGGCACAAACGAAGGGCCCCAGGATGGCGACGGTGGGTGCAAGGGAGAGTTCGTCTCCAGGGCCTCTGGCCTTTAAGGGCTGGTGGGTTTAGGGTTTAGGGATTTCGGGGTTTAGAGACTGTTACAGATTTAGGGTTCAGGGCCTTTAGGAATTTAGTTCATAGGGAGTTAGGGTTTTCTGGGGGTTTCTAAGGGTTCTGAGGGTTCTAGGTTTAGGGCATATGGCTCCGGCGTTCGGGCTAAATTGAAGGTTCATGGGGTTATAAGTAGGGTAACTGTAGTTATAACCCATACTAGGGGACTTATAACTCCATTTATAGCTGCCCATGAACCTCCAAGTAGGGCCCAAGGAAATGGGCTTGGGTTAGCCCCTTAGCCCTAAACCCGAAACCCCTAAACCCCTAATCCTAAACCTCTAAACCCTAAACCCTAAATCCTAAACCCTCAAACCTTAAACCCTAAACCCTAAACCGACGTGGGTTGCTACTCCGAGCTTGAGATAGCATGGCCCGGATCGACGGCGCCTTGAGGCTCCATGTCTGGTTCGTTTTGGAATCTAAACTGGGTTTAGGGTTTACGGGTTTAGGGATTTAGGATTTAAGGCTTTAGGGTTAAGGGGTTTAGGGGTTCGGAGCCTAAACCCTTATAGATCCATTTAAGGAACCCCTAAACCCTTCTAGAGATCCCTTTTACGAGCCGCAAATCCTGAACCCCTGCACCGAGCAGGATATACCCGGAAGCCATGGACCGCTAGGCTGAAATGCTCAAAACCATTGGCGGACGGTCAATCCAAACGACGTGAACCTCGAGCCGGACTCTCAAATTAGCCCGGAAACTACCAGAACATGTGCACTAGTGTGCGCACAAAGTGCGCAGGGATACCAGCGTGCCCATCACCCACTGTAAACGGGCATCCACTCATCGATCCACCCACGCAAACATTTATTCATCCATTCATCAATGCATGCACGCAGGCAGGCATACACACATACATAGTACAGCACAGCACAGGGTACCATAGAATGCCACACCACATCAGACGACACCACACCACACCAAACTACACCCCACGACAACACCATGCCATGCCATGCCATGCCGTACCATTGCATACCCTATCATACCAAACCGTATTAGAACATAACATGACTTGACATGACATGGCACACGGCCATAAACATCAACATAAACATTACGTACTATAGACATATAAACAACCTAGTCTTAAGCAACATAGACGTGGCCAGAGCATAGCTTGCACATAGCAAAGCATAACATAAAATGACACAACACCACATGGCATAATCAGCGTAACATGACATCACATGGCATGACATGACATGACATGACATGACAGGACTTGACATGACATGACATGACACGACAGAGCAGAACGTAACATGGAGTAACATAGCATAACATGGCATGACATGCATAGCATGCCATGACAAAGCATAACAGCACATACAATCGTGCAAACATGACCTAACATTCCTGTGCGTCACCCCCCAAAGTACATTACATTTGCGTAGCACTATACGGTAAACTAAACGTTACACTGCATTATGTTACCTAGCGTATACACATACACACAGTCACACACAAAAAAAATATATACATATATATATATATATATGCATGCCTGGGGGCACCCGGGTTCAAGATTCAGGTTGCATAGTTTGGGATTTAGGTTTACCTAGGGCCTAGGGTCGAGGGTTTAAGTTCTTCAGTGCTTGGGTTTGGTATCGTGGTATGGTTTAGGGCAGAGGGGGTTCGGGGTGTGGGGCTTGATGTTTAATGTAAGGGCCTCAATAGTTAGAATAGGCTTTTGGGTATTTTATACTATAACTGAAATAAGGAACCCTCAAGAATAGTATGAGTAACTATATTATATATATATATATGTATAATAAGGAACCCCCGCAATAGTATTGGTAATTGTTTAGGCTCCTATAGTAGGCAGCGTTTCGAGCTCGGAGCTGCAGGCAGCTGCAAGGAGGCCATTTTGGGATGCAGCGTCTCCCATCGCATCTACATGCCGGGTTTAGGGTTTAGGGTTTAGGGGTTTAGGAATGGCGCATCGAGATCTGCCGTGTTAGCAGATTTCTAGAGCAACAACGATAACAAGAGTAACAGTAACAATGATAACTGCTAGGTTTCACAAAGGCTGAATATGCCTCGCAATGGCAGGGCGACTTTGGCCAAGGCAGCTGAAAACCGATTGCGTGCGTCGACTTGGCGTACTTCCAGAATGGTATAATTAGGGGCCTATAGGAGCCTTAATAATCAGAATGTGGTTTCCCTGAATACTATAGTATGCTTCTAGGGTTACTGAATGACCGATCGACCGCCAAACCAAACGCAGCGGACCATGTTTCGAGAACCCTAAACCCTAAACCCTAAACCATAAACCCTAAACCCAGATAGGGCATTTCGCACAGAATCCAAGGAAGCCTTGCGCTCAACCGCCAAGTTAGGGTTTAGGGTTTAGGGTTTAGGGTTTAGGGTTTAGGGTTTAGGCTTTAGGGTTTAGGGTTTGGGGTTTAGGGTTTAGGGTTTAGGGTTTAGGGTTCAGCCGAACCCTCACCTGCTTTCAGAGTCTGCAGCTGGCAGTCCTGCAGGAATCTCAAGGTTTAGGGGTTTAGGGGGCGACAGAATATGTAGGGTTTAGGGTTTAGGGGGCGACAGAATATGTAGGGTTTAGGGTTTAGGGGGCGACAGAATATGGAGGGTTGGATTTCTACAGTACTTGTGGGGCACTTTCTCCTGCAGGAACTCGCCGCTGTCATGGTGAAAGTGGCATAGCAGCAGAACTACTGGTAACAGGTAAAAATCGGAATAAGCAAGATATTATTTATTTCAGAGTAGTAATTACAATTGTCGCCATTGTTCTCTCCCACAAGTTTTGGCCCCATAACAGATACTGGTACCAGAAATGGCGGAAGAAACCGCAGAGGAAGAAGACATAGTACTGGAAAGCAATAGTGCTAGTATTCGGGGGCATGACCGTCACAAGCACATCATGGTAACGATCAGTGCACGACTGAATAGCAACAGCAACGACAATCAAACCGCGACGATGACGAGAACGAGAAAGGGGTCATCATGAGCTACAGCAGCAGCAGCAGCAGCAGCAGCAGCAGCAGCAGCAGCAGCACTAGAAGAGGTGACAAAAGTACCCGCTTCCTCTTCATCAGCAACACCACGACCGCGATATGCACATGGAAAACACCACGCACCACAACATCCCTCGCCATCTGTCATGAAAGACGGCACAGTTGACATCATCATGGTTGCGACATTCGGGCAGCGCTTCAGAGAACTAAATATCTCTGAGGCATGCTCCTTCAACTTGAAGGTTGAGTACCCTAGCCCCAGAAGGGCCAGCATTCACTTTGAGGGCTTAGGGCTTAGGGAACATGGTTTAAGGTTGCCTAGCTGGCCCCGCAAATAACATCTTGAAGCCTGGTGGGAAACCTAGACGATGCCCTGATGCATAATCAATCCCGTACAAACCTCATGTGGTACCATTAATGATAAAGCACGGGTTTCAAACTAAAGTTGAAGAGGATAACCTTATTAAGAAGATGTTTAGCAAGAGTACTTTTCGAATCATTCAGCCTCCATCGCTGATGCCAAACAGCTCTCACCCCACAGCCTGAAACACCCATTAACATAGGGGCCTATATGATTACTAAGACTATTCTCTAGGAGGGCTTTGTATAGGTTTACCATAGTAATACCCCAAAAACCCACTCTAATTCTTAACAGCTGAGTAAAGCCTACATTCAAACACCCACCCACCCCGGTCGGAAGGACTTCGCATCCAGCTCACGGAGGCCACAAATAGGCTTGTCGAGACCGGTACCTGAGTTTAGAAGGATTTAGGGTAGGGTTTAGGGCTTACACTACGGCTGCTTAAGAATCCTAGACCCGCAGGCGGTTTTGTTCTGGGTACATTTTTCTCGGGGTTCGGGGTTCACCAGAGTGGGCCCACGCTTGTGTATGGCTCTTGGTTTTGCTATGGTTTCTTTCATTACTATACCATAGTATACTACAATACCACAATATGCTACACTACACTGCTACACTATACTATACTGCGCTATACTATGCTCCACTCTACCACACTCTACTATACCAAACTCTACTATACTATACTCTACTATACCAAACTCTACCATACCAAACTCTACTATACTATACTCTACTATACTATACTCTACTCTACTCTACTATACTCTACTATACTATACTCTACTTTACAATAGAATAGAATTGGCCGCGCAACTTCAGACATTCTCTTGAGATCAGCGGCTCTGGGCTGCGAGAGGTCTAGGAGAAGTGTGAGATACTGCCCTAAGGCTCCATGTGGTTTAGGGTTTAAGGGTTTACGGTTTAGGGTTTAGGGGTTTACGGTTTAGGGTTTAAGGGTTTAGGGTTTAGGGTTTAGGGGTTTCTCCGAGTACACATAAAGTGTATTATACTTTGGCCTTAAGGTAACAATATATGGGAACTACTTTAAGGCCTAAGTATCTACTACATGGGCACGTGGAGCCTGAGGGCTGCGAGAAGGATGGGCAGAGCATACGCTTGTTGGGCTTAGGTTCTTGTTAATAGTGCGGCGACCTGCACTGTCGTACTTGGGTTTAGGGCCGTTTAGGGTTTGGGGTTTAGGGTTTAAAGGACTGGCTCGCCTTCGCAAGCAACAGCAACCCGGTAAACCTACGAGGTTTTTGCGGCAGGGCTGTTTCCCAAAAGTCTCCGTTCACAGACTCACCACGTCAACACCACTCCTGCATAAAGAGTATCGAACGGCAAGGTCCCACCTACCACTCCCCAACTTGCATGTGTCACATGGCAAAACCCACCCGATCTCACCAGACTTGCCTGATGGGACAGCTAAGAACGGAGAAGCCCTGGATCCATCTTGTTCCACTGCTGGCATACGTTCACCTCGTATTCATGGATGCTGTGTTCCGTGGGATTCCTCGCTTCTCTTCGAATCCGCCCTAATTCTACTTGGGGCCTTGCTCTGTGTGCTCTACTGTTCCGGTGCACAGGTTCGGGACAATGACGCAGCATCTAGTCTACCCGAGTCTACCCCATTCAATACGGTTTAGGGTTTAGGCTATGTACTGCCATGATATGTTCTACCGCGCCATTGATGCTGCTGACTCATACGACTTCGCTACGCTGTAATGACTCTTTGACGCTAGGGGAGCTAGTTCAAGCTGTATTAAACTATATACAGCATATAGATTGAGTATTGTAAAAGTATTGGAGGTGTCACAAATTCGGGATTGTAGAATGCAGCGTGTGACTCGTTTCTTCCTTCTTCTGTCGCCAAGATGCGATACTTCGAGTTTTCGCAAGCTGTGGGAACAGCAAGGTCCTTGCGGACAAACGTCAGCTCCACCACACGGGGCATCTTGTAGTCCGTGCCGTTCCTGAGGCTGCTAGGACCCTAAACCCTAAACCCCTAAACCTTATAAACTAAACCCCCAACCCCTACACCCCTAAACCCGAAACTCCTAAACCCTAAACCCCTATACCCCTAAACCCCTAACCCCTACACCCCTAGACCCTAAAAATCCTATAAAGAGTCGGGCCGAAAGAGGCTGAGGAGTTCAGGCTGTCGCGGTTTGCGATACAGAGCCTAGACCCTGGGTCACACGCCGGGTTTCCGGTTCGGGGGTTTGGGGTTTGGGCTTAGGGTTTATGGGTTCGGGTGTTGCGGGTCGAGGGTGTAGGGTTTAGGGTTTAGGGGTTTAGGGTTTAGGGTTCAGCAACAGGCATCTCAACCCTACTATATACGCCAAGAATCACAGACTCGCAATCCTGACCCGAAACCAGTAAAACAAACTCAACCCGATAAAGCTCTCAGATATTAGGAGCCGATGCTTGTGGCCCTGCCAAAAATTCAGGGGCAGGGGCCAAAAACTCCAGTTTAAGGTCTCAAGCCGGGCTGTTTCCGTTCCAAGCATGGCGTCTTCAACGTCTTCTGTTTCGAGATGATTCTGGTGGGCTCATTCCTGCCTTGCTTTCGGGGCTTACATTCAGTCGGACGGGCTATAAAGGCACACCATGATCGTCAGCCATATGCAGTCGTGTATTCAGGCGATGATGCAAAACCAAACAGGGTCAACACTCGGCCCTCGGCAAGGCGTTTAGGAACCCTAAACCCTAAAACCTACCTGTGCCCTTAAACCCCCAACGGTTTAGGGTTTAGGGAAGAGCCCCGGTGCCCTAATCCCTGAACTCTTCAACCCTTAAACCCCTAAAGCCATTAAGCCCAAAAGCCTGACCCAAGACTGCTTTGCCCAGGCTCACGGACCACACATCAAAGCGATTGCAGGCATGACTGTGCACCAGGTGAAAGTTTTCAAGGATGAGGTCCATGGCCTCGTTGTAATATGGTCTCAAAAAGTGGAATATGGAAAAAGGTAGTATAATATAGTATACTATAATATAGTTACCGTGGAATACAGAATATTATACCGAATAATATGGTATAGCATAGTCTGCTGTGACGGCTTAGGGCTGTCTTCGGCCTATTGATCCGAGGACCCTGGACATAAAGAAACCCCCACAGACCTAAAAGCTCAGGGACGTTCGCCCAAACTCAATCCGGAGATGCGATGCCCGAAATCAGTCTCGTCACGTCCGCGAAGGTCTTACACGCCATGATGCTTCTCTTAATCCCTATAAGCCCATATTAACTGTCTGGTGCTTAGTCAGCCCCTTAAGGTCCCTTATAGTAGTCCCTATAACCCATTCCCCCATTCCCTACTAAGCACCAGACAGACAAGCCCGTAAGCCCTGAAAGTGCAGACCAAGTCCATTATGAGCCCCGCACTCACCTTACGCTCGGACGCAACGAAGTTGGGGCCAGGTCGTTTCACCAAACCCTAAACCCTAAACCCTAAAGCCTAAACCCTAAACCCTACACCGGCTTTACGGTTCAGGGTGGGAGTTTAGGATTTATAGGATTTAGGGTATGGTTCAGGGTTTGAGTTTAGGATTCATAGGATTTAGGGGAATATCGTTTAAGATGTGCAAGTGGGCTGCCCGAAGCCCGATGAACTGGGGCCTTGCGGGGCCTTATACAGGAACCCCTTCAGGCCTTACAATAAGGGTTTAGGGTTTAGGGTTTAGGGTAAGTAAGGGTGCCGTACTATTTTGCAGACCCCTACTTTGGAGAACTCAACTCAGGATACCGTAGCCGCTGGGATTCGACAGGGTTGTCCCTTAAGCCCCTATCTCTTCATCATTGTCCTTTCGGTCATCCTTGAAGACATGGACCACAACTTACGCACGCACGGCGCGCCGTGCAACACATGGTCAGAGGGTCGACCAGTCTATGATGTCGAATACGCTGACGATACTTTACTTTTAGCTCTGACCACAACGCAGATGCAGACATTCCTCAGATCTCTTGAAACAGGCGCAGCAGAGTATGGTATGTCACTAAATTCGACAAAAAACAGAGCTTCAAGTGAAAAACACTGAGGAGACCAGCAACCTCAGCTTCAGAGACGGCAAGCCTGTCCCGACCACAACGCACATCAAGTATCTAGGTAGCATGATAGCCTGGGATCATCCGTTCGACGTAGCCTTCAGACATAGGGCAGCTCTCGCTGAAGAAGCCTATAAACAGCTCAGACTAGTTTGGAACAGCAACAGGTCCCGCATTCACAAGCTCTATATATTCCGCACCACCTTCGTCCCTACATTATGCTACGGTTTAGACGCCCTGACCCTCACCGACCAAAACCTTAGAAAGATTGACGCGTGGTATCATAAGTTTCTACGCCGGATCCTTAACATCAAGGCCACTTACTACTCCAGGATCAGTAACTGGACCGTCTGGAACCAAGCCCACAGACCACAACTCTCCTCCACCACCTTACAAACCCTTCAAATCAAAGCTCTAGCCAACATTGTTTGCTCCTCTCCTGAAGACCCGATGCATAACATAGTCTTCTGCCATCCCATGAAGGATAGAAT